TCTCTCTCTCTCTCTCTCTCTCTATCTCCCTCTCTCTCTCTAGCTACACTGTACTTACCCCACACGCGATGTAGACAGGCAGAAAAATCCACCCCAGCAGCTGCAGCAGCATCAGCGCCTGTACCCAGGGAGGGAGGAAAACAAAACAACAGTGGTCATTTGTGAGGCATCGTGGTGAAATCAGGCGCTCGTCAAAATTATGAAATCGAAGAAACCAAGGTTTTTTTCCGCCTGTTAGGCAATTTTTAAATTAATTTTTTAAATCAAATTTTTAATGCGTTTCAGTTTTATTCATTTGTATATTTATCTATTTATTTATTGGCTCTTTTATTTCCATTTAAAAACACATGTGTGGATTTTACCAAAATACGTTAATGAAAAGGAAAACAAAAACAAACAAACAAACAAACAAACAAACAAATAAAAAACAAATAAACAATGTAAGTTTGCAGTTTCAAAGAACACTTAAGCTTTGTAAGTCACAAAACTTCACAGGCCATTTTCTCACCAACTTATCTGTGACAGCGGGCGACCCCAACCTCCTTCAATTGCAAATATCCCGACATCTTTTCTGGATAGATGTTTATTTCTTTTTTCGCATTAAAAGCAAGGAAATGGACTGCATTAAAATTTCTAAGAGAAGCTATAATATACCAGAAGGAAAATTAAGCCCTATCTGTACGCTCTGGGGTCATTTTGTACCCTCGGGTTGTATTCTTCACATTTTAGAATACTTCTAGTACGAATATCTCTTTGAAACTTTCAATATTTCTCAAAAAACATTTTGACAGTCTGCTATTGAAAGCGTACGGATCGGATTAAGGAGTAAATTTCCTCTTTGGAAATGGGTGGCGCAGAGTTCCTCACGTCGTATGGATATTATAGTAAAACACGACGTACGGATAGGGTTAAGTAAAGAGAAAGAGACAGTACACCGAAGTGAACGTCACACAACATGCACGGCGTTTGAAAGTAGAGGTTTCTGAGAAATATTTCACCCTCATCAACGCAATCTAGAATATTCAGGAGGCGGGCTGCTTCGACCCTGTCTGCCAGGGCCAACTTGGGCTCATCATCATCATCATCCAGTGCTAGATCTGCGACAGACATCGGTGATCATTGTTCTCCATCCATTCCTTTACTCGGATGCTCTAAAAAAAGCCACGTTTCCCTGATCTTTCCCCGTTACCCATTTGTTTAGGTTCCCCAAGTATGTTGTTCTGGGCCTTCCCCTGCCTCGCTTGCCCTCAACTTGGGCTACGATGGATAAAAAAGTCCTAGCAGATAGACTGAGCTAACTCGAAAAAAATCCACCCCATACAGAAAGTGATTAACTGTGTTCAACGGTGCAGCACCCAACCCTAATCGCTACACCACGGACGTTTGTAAAACCTGGATAGCTTTGAAAACTCAAAAACTAAAACAAAGTTCCTAGAATACGCTCTCCGTTGTGCATTTTGAAAAGGACATCTGCACCATAGTCCATCATGATGCCACCTGAGCTAACAGCGCACACTAACATAAAATTATATTTCTTTAGTAAGGCTTTATAATATTATGCTCATGAGGGTGGGTGGTTGGTGGGTGCTCTGGTGTGATTTGCCTTCTTTCCCATGAAATATCTCTCATCCCTGTCTCCCCTTCTTTTTAAAGGTATTTGTTACTCTCTTGTAACTCTAATCTTCGGCACTTAAGCTCGGTCCGACGTTGTATCCTTGGGAAAGGCACTTTTCGCGAACTTCCCACTTGGCTCGGTCCTATCGGAGATGGACGTTAAACTAGGAGGTCCCGTCCTTTAAATAACCTAATAGTGTTGATAGGGGCGTTATATCTATACCATTTACCATTTCGGCACTTATTTGACCTACTGGTGTTGCAAGTGCCGTAAAACTCTTACTAAAACAAGCTCTAGGGAAAACCAAACCAAACAATAAAACCCCCCAACAAAACAGAACAAAACCAAAGAACAAAGCCTAACAAAACCATTGTACTCACGTTGAACTCCCAAGCCCCGACACTGATGCCCTGGGCAGCGCCAGACCCCGCTAGGCCGATGAAGTGTTCTGTGCCGATGTTACTCACGAACAGAGAAGCGCCGATCTGTCAGAATATCCACAGAGAATTCGTTAGAAGCAGCATAATTATAACATTCTACGCCCCCCCCCTCCACACCTGCCCTTTTATTTAATCCATTCGATGTTGATGGTTGGCAGGGGCTCTGGTGTGGTTTGCTCTCTTCGGTATCCAATCTAGCATCTCTATCGTCATTATCTCTCCTCCCTTTTATGTTTGTCATTCTCTCGTAACGTCAAATCGTCGGCATATATTTGACCTTATTGTGCTGCTAGTGCCGTACACACCAAAAACAAACAAAATTAAAAGATCCTTCTGGAGATGGGCTGCTTTGACCCTGACTGCCAAGGTCAACCCAGGCTGATAATGTATTAAAGCTAACTCCAAATTTTGGAAACCTACAGACAGGGAAACCAAGTGACATTTTAAAATTCTGATAATATTATAAAAAGAAGGGCAAACATGACAATTTGCAATCGTGTAACGTATAGTAAAAATATTATAAGCAGTTTTTTCTTTTACCGCGCGATATGTCTTTTGCACCAATTGTATAACATAGAACTCGGGGTCCATGACCCTTTTGCCCGAGATGACACGCTAATGAACGGAAAATTTCACATTCCCGGCACCACGCATCAAGGCTGCTGAAAATGTCTTCGGCGTGCATAAGTTGAGATTCGTGTTAAAATCATTTCGTCATACATCTAGTAGTTACTTGTAAAATACAAGCTGACTGCGTGCCCTAAACAGCACGGCAACCTTGAGATTAGGGCTTTGACCATCATATTTTGCTTTTGGCCGCTACGCTACTACAGTCACGACTAATTGACGGCGTTCTTACTAACCCTTCGTAGGGAAATATCTTCTTTTTTTAAGAAAAGGGAAAAAGAAGAGAAAAACCATTCAATTCATTAACATTAATCTGTTTCACAAAGGCGAAAGTGTACATAAATACAAAAATATATGAATACATGAATAAATACGTGAACAACATAGGCCTACACAGTTCTACAAGAAAAGACAATCCACACATCATTATTGGTCGAAACTATGCAGCGCCCAGTTTTTTTTTTTTTTTGTTGTTGCTTTTTTTTAGCTTGGGTTATCATGACGAGTTGCTCAAGGATCAGTGACCGACATGCACTTGTCTTGCGTTGATCCTTGCAGCTGTGCACTAAAAAGTGTAACTTGAAAGCAATGATTCAGTTCTACAAGAAGAAGAAGAAGAAGGAAGAAGGAAGAAGGAAGAAGGAAGAAGGAAGAAGGAAGAAGGAAGAAGAAGAAGAAGAAGAAGAAGAAGAAGAAGAAGAAGAAGAAGAAGAAGA